CACTTCTCTATCATTCTCTTCCACAGTAGCACTGAAATTAGGGGATAAAGATGGGTTCTAATTTCTCAATTTTACTTCTTCTTCGATCAAACAGAACTACTTCTTTTTTCTGGGTGTATGCATCAAGAAAATGGCGAAATGATGGTGGCAAGAATAAAATTGGCAAATGAGTAGAGATATTCCTATGCTTCTTGAATCAATTTTCATATGCCACTGTTAGTATTCAGGTATTTTTTCTCATTTTTGTCTGATTTAGGGTTGAGGGTTTAGTTGATTTGATTGAATAATTTACTTTTTCCCATTTTCGTCTTCACTTAAGATTGAGGGTTTAGTTGATTGATCGAATAATTTATATAAAACCTCGAAATTAACTTGTAGGAATGGGGAATTTGGTATATTAGTCATGTGATAGTTCACTCTCCTGTTACTGCTTAGAATTAGGAATGAAACATACAATTTTGTTTTGCTGAAACTCTTCTTCTTGTATATTGATGAATTTTAGTGAATTCATTTTCTTTCTCATTTTTGTGTCGTTTTAGCTGTACTTATCTATTTTCTTTTTGTATCAATTGATGATTGTTCGATCCTGATAATTATCCAAATGATTTTCACCTCTTCAATATGGATTTCCAAACTTTTTGAGTTTTGCACAAATGGAATCTGAAATAAATAAATAAATATGGGAAATTTCAATAACTAGCAGCTTCATAGAGCCAGGGATTTTGAAAATTGATATTAATATACCATTGGTGTGGGGGCTAGATTCTGTTGCCGTAGAGATGTTTGATCAAAGTCCCAAAAGAATTTTAGTTTAGTGGAAAATCATGAACAATTATGATTTGTTCAACACATTTATGCTCAAACTTTTCTTAGCGGACAAGTAAGCATTATAATTTTCCTTATCATTATAAGCCTGGATAGATGGAATCTTTAGGATGAAAATGAGTTTTTCGGTTGATTTGTCTTCTTCACTCTTTGCTTTTGCGACCATGCCATACCTTTTTAACGCACAAATAACTACCACGGGGTTAAGTATTCATCCCAGCCCTCCCCTGCCTCTTCCTTGTTAAGAGATTATCCATACCTCTTTGCTGTGATTCCTTTGGAAGTAGATCACTAGTAACTCGATCACAAGCCGCTTGCACATCGCACAATTGTGTTTTAAAATATTTCAAACCAATGTAAAGTAACTACTAAACAATGTTAGAACAACTTTAATTCACTACTGACCGAGTAGCAGAGAGATGACGTAGGAAAAGAACCTAAAAGTGGACTGAGAGAGCTTGTTTTCTTTGACTGTGGAAAGAAACAGTCTGATGTAGCATCTAAGGTTCAACCAGAATGTTCATGGGAAGAATGCCAAAAAAATAATGAGCAACCTAGAACCAAGAGTTGGGAGTGTTTAGTTGTCAATTGAGACCAAGTTGAGGTGTCTAGATGTGCCACTCTCAAAGTTGGAGTGCTTACTTGCCAGCTGAGACGAAGCTTTGAGTATTATTTGTTTATGCATTCTGATATTTTTTTTATCAAGAACTCATCTCTCTGAATATCTGCAATCCTGTTGTGTTCAACTGTTGTATATATCTATTATGGATTCACAAATTTTACAAGCGTTTCTTTACTTTTTTTGTTTGGATCTATCTTAGTGTTGGCAATGGGTTTTCAATGTTCATATAAAGTTTGAGACTCATTTGTCAACAGTGAAGCCTTACCCTCTGGACCTCTCCAGAGTCGTATATTTTGATGTCCATGGCAGAGATTTCATTTAAGATGTTAAGTGAATACATTTCCACCAAAAGTTGCTTGATTTTAAGTGAAGTCATTTACGAATTTGACTTATATGTCATTTCAATTTCTTTTAGGAGGGTTTTATGTTGACCACATTTTGATATCTGTGCTTTGCATTGATCAAATTCTTCTTCATTACATTGTTGTAAATATTGATTCAGTCAACAAAGTCAGCTTTAAGAATTGCAGTCGTTTGAAAAGGAAAAGAAACATGGTGCATGATGTCCTAACTAGCCTTGTATTTCTTTTCTTTTGAAGGTACTACATAGCTGCTTTCTGTTTCTTCAGCTAGATTAACTTTAATATCATATATAAACTTTGTTTATTTATTTACATGGACCTCTGTTGCCTGAAATGAGAACTATAAACTATTAGAGCATCATAGGAGGACAACAACAGTTAGAGAAGATTATGTAGTCTTGCTTTAATATTTGAACGTGCTAGCCGCTTGTTTCAGGAATACTCTTGGTCATGAGTTGCATCAACTGTTAACATGAGTACTATAGAGATTGGTTTAGTAAAAAAGCAATTGTGAAAATAATTGTGCACTTCTTTTTAGTCTGTGAGTCTATTCAGCTGTGAAAATTTCGTTCACCTCTAATTTCTGTTTAGTTCATGTTGATTTCTAACTAATTAAAATGATTAAAAGAAACTCTGCAGAAGATATGTTGGTTGATTTCTTGAACTCTCAAACAACCAGTTCTGTATGAACATGAAGTTGAGGTATTTCCCTCTTTCTGGTAAGCCATTTGACACATCCTTCCTTTTTACCTTGATAAAAATGAAATCTGCACTTTAGTCTTCTGTAGCAGGTTTCACAATTTTTTTCCCAATAGAATTTGTAGCAGCTGGGGCAACCTTTTTAGTTTTCATGATTAAGATGCTCAATCTTGTATGCTACACCAGACTCTAAGATATCTTAGTTTTTTGGATAACCATGGTGTCATATTCCACAGTATACTTGCATCCTTCTGTCGTTTTGTTTGTACATGTATAAGACAACTCTGTCCATTAAGATGGATTTGACCCTGCTCTCCCATGGTTCTCGTTCAAAGGGGGCACACCTTTGGTAAAATGGATTTTAGATCCTTTTCAGATTTGGAAACCTATGAGAAAGATTTGGAAAACCACACCAGCTTCTGTTTGTTGGATATTAATTATGGAAGGGAAGAAATGCAAGATGTTTTTAAAGAAAAGAAGATTCTGTATAGAAGATTAAGGTTAGTTTCTTATGACTTTTGGCTTTTTGGTTGATCTTCAACATGAAAATAGCTTGGTAAATTTCATAGACTCATTACACGGATATTTGTACAAAAGAACCTTTTCTTTTTGCTTTTGTGTATATGAGGTTCTGACGATATTAATGTACTAGCACCAAGTTAGTGCTACTGCAGATTTTCATTATTATTGTATTAGCATTATAGAATTAATTAGCACAAGTGTCCATCCTACACTCTATAAAACAAACTTTGAAGATCTCTCCAAGAATGATATTTTTCCAAGAATGATATTTTTTCAAGAATGATATTTTTCAAGTGATATGTTGGTGTATATCATTGATTACTTGCACATCTATCCCTTTCTTAACAAAAAAACATATCTTTCCATTGTTTTTTTGCCAGCTTAATCTCCGCAGGTGTTTCATATATTGAAATGGATATTTATTAGTTAATAATATTCAATGATAAATCAATTGAATATAGAAGAAAATATCGCTATCCCTTTCCTTCGTTACATTCTTTGTCAGCTAACATACATGTGTTACTCCCTCTCTCTCTCGATAATTATAACTTTCCATGGTTTATTAAAAAATTTGGAATACAAATAATGATAAACAAAATTTGTATACTTTTTAAGGGCGAGGCAGGGGACCACAAGGCACAACGCCTCGAGGTCCTTGGGAAGGGGGGGAGGGGCTGCGACAAGGCGCCTC